TGTCAATTTGTTAAGTCAACAACAGGAGTCACTGTGCACTTACTCCTCATGTATGATCCTTAGTGTGCTGTACATTGAGATTGAATGCTATAACTAGTACTCAAACAGTATTTTTCACTTTGTGTTTCTGTGTGGGTGCAAACTGTTGAAATTTTTACTTAATATATGCTAAACTGATCTTCTGTATATAAAGAGAATTGAAAATGATTCTTGATGTGACTGGAAGGGGAGAGGGAGCGGGAAAGGGGAGGGTTGCGGGTGGGAGGGAAGTTATGGGGTGGAAGCCATTGTAATCCATAAGCTGTACTTTGGAAATTTATATTCATTAAATAAAAGTTAAAAAAAAAAGCTTGATGGGATGGAAGAGGAATCTCAACTTGACTTAGGGGAAATTATGTTGATCCAGAACTGTCAGATTAATATCTAGGGCTAGTTCAGGCTTGGGTAGAGTGTGGCCTAGAGTTCTCCTACACTCTGCTGTGCGGACTCCACCCCTTAAGACCCCTGAATAGGTTTTCATGTCCTAGTGGCACTTAGTGCCACTGCTTTGGACATTCATGTCCCTCTTTGGAAAAGTACCAGCGACCATCGCCAAGGCCACAAGAGACTGCAGCTCTCCTGTCAGCTCTAGATCTCCAACGTTCTAACGGACATTCCATGAATACCCACTGGACCGAAAACAAAAAGAATGGGAAGATGGGTTGAGACTGGCAGGAGGCTTAGCCATGGAAAAGATCACAATTGGAAGTGTTCGGATTTTGAAAGGAGGGATCTCTTCTCCTCCTTACAGAGAATACACACTGGGTCACACATTCGCCCAGTGCTGTGGGCTGAACCAGGAACCAAAAGTCATAGCAGTCTGCCACGTCTCTTGGGCTGTGGATCAGGACGCCAGTCACTGTTTAAAGGCCGCTTTTCTGCTCTAGCAATTCTCATCTCGTTAGGAATGCCACTCTAAAAGTTGTGCTAATTATATATATATATTTTTGACAGGCAGAGTGGACAGTGAGAGAGATAGAGACAGAGAGAAAGGTCTTCCTTTGCCGTTGGTTCACCCTCCAATGGCCGCTGCGGCCGGCGCATCGCGCTGATCCAAAGCCAGGAGCCAGGTGCTTCTCCTGGTCTCCTATGCGGGTGCAGGGCCCAAGGACTTGGGCCATCCTACACTGCACTTCCGGGCCACAGCAGAGAGCTGGCCTGGAAGAGGGGCAACCAGGACAGAATCCGGCACCCCGACTGGGACTAGAACCCGGTGTGCTGGCGCCGCTAGGCAGAGGATTAGCCTAGTGAGCCACGGTGCCTAATTATATGTTTAACCAGTATTTTGTGCTACCCTTTCCCTCTACCCCCATTAGATATCCCTCTATTTTTCCCCCAGGTTTTAAAACTTTATTTGCATCTTTAAAAAATTATGCATTCCAATTAATATCCAATTAATTGGAATAATATTATTATTAAATATATAATAAATAATATTATTAAATATATCCAATTAATTGGAATAATATTCCAATTAATAAAAAATAATTAAAATCATTGGAACAAAAAAAAATGGCCCTCCGATTAAACCGCATTTGACAGCCTGCAGGACACGTTGGACCAGCTTGGATTTTCCTCCAGATCTCACCGTCGTCCCCCCAGCTTCTTCCTTCACCAACATGTACATTCTTTTCCTTCCCTGCCAGGCAGAAGGGAGACGGGGGAGAAAGGCGTGGACTTCGTGGTCAGCAGTTTTCCACTCTTTGATGTGAAAGGCGCTGCACAGTCTATACATGATCCAACCTCTCTGCGTCTGACAGAGTTAAACAGCTGAAAGAAGTAAAATAAGAAGGCAATGCTTGTGGAATGTGCAGTGCATACCGGCAGCGCACGCCTCATTGCGATTCACCTGCTTGCTTCTTTTGTTCAATTGTTTCTTTTGAAGGAAGTGGATTTTTTTCTCTTGTGTTTCTGTATTCTTCAGTTTCAACTTACCAGATTTCTCCATCTCAGCCATATTGGTTTTGTCAGACGTGGTGGCAGAGGAAGCCGAGTGAGGTGATTGAGTGAGTGAAGTCCAATCAGTGCAATGGCCACCGCCGAGTCCAGATATCTCTCTTGATGTAAATCTAATTATCCTCATATACCAATTCATTTTATATAGATTTTAAAAGGGCAGTCGCTTCCTTGCATATTCACAATGGCTTCGTACCTTGTGCTGTCCGTAGGTGACATACAATCCTTTTTACTACAGTAGTGAAATGCAGGAGAGTTTGGCTGAACTCGTAAGAACACCTTTTGCTCAGAGCAGCAGCTCGGGGTCAGATCTGTGTACTCTCAGGGGTCTCAAGCTTTGTCTAATTGTCCTAGGTTTTACATCACATGATCTGACCTCCCGGAGGGCACAGGACTAACCAGCAGGTGAGTAGAAGTCATTAGTTATAGCCAGACAGACTGAAGCCACATTTGGAAATACAGTTCAACATTCAGCTGGGCATGCTTAACAATGGCCAGAATTAAAAGGATATTACTGGGAGAAATAGTGAAAAAAAAATGGAACATGCTGTACTATTTTTAAAAGCTTTTTTGGACGGTGTTATTAAGAACACAGATTTCTCATGATAATAAGGGGCTCCTACTTTGAACTCCTAGATGTCAACTTTAAAGGAGCTCTCCTTTCCTGAAGCTGTGCAGACATATATAATACATTGTATGTAGTCTGGCTGCCAAGCAAATTGATTAAAAAATATGTGGAAAAGGGAATTTTTGTAATCCATGGCAGGCTGACTTTCCTTTGACATTATGATGCTGAGTTTCTCATCAGCCAGGGATATAAATAATATATTTTTTTCTTTCTGAAAAGAATGTAAAACATTTCGGTTTCCAAAGTTAAGATCAACTTGAGGCAAGCAGATGAGGAAGAAGCAAGGTGGGGCTCTGGGATTCTCTCCGTCTGAGACCTGCTGCTCTCCCTGACCTGCCTCTGTCCTGCTCTGCTTCCCGAGGACTCCGTCCCTGGCCGGTCTCTCCTTCTGTTCTCTACTTAAACGTTCCATATTTTTTTTTTTTTTTGACAGGCAGAGTGGACAGTGAGAGAGAGAGACAGAGAAAGGTCTTCTTTTTGCCGTTGGTTCACCCTCCAATGGCCGCTGCGGATGGCGCTCTGCAGCCGGCTCACTGCGCTGATCCAAAGCCAGGAGCCAGGTACTTATCCTGGTCTCCCATGGGGTGCATGGCCCAAGCACTTGGGCCATCCTCCACTGCACTCCCTGGCCACAGCAGAGAGCTGGCCTGGAAGAGGGGCAACCGGGACAGAATCCGGCGCCCCGACCAGGACTAGAAGCCGGTGTACCGGCACCGCAAGGTGGAGGATTAGCCTAGTGAGCCGCGGCGCCGGCCAACGTTCCCTATTCAGGGAAGCCTTCCTGGTCACCCTCTCTAAAGCAATCGCTAACTCTACTCCAAACGCTTGCCTCAGACTATTTCCTGGGTCAGCTCCTTGTGTCTTTCCAAACACCCAAGGTTTGTGATGTAGGAACTATTCTCTTCATCTAAGAAGGAAGTCTGTGAATCCTGCTCACTGCCCAGCAGTGTCTGGTATTCCACACGTATCTGTCAGATAGCTGACTGTGAGGCAGTGTGAGTTCGGGTTAACAACCAACAGAGCGGAGTGGAAGAGCAGGGAGAACCGGGGGTGAGAAACTGGCCATGAACCCTGGGCCCTTCTCTGCCACCGGTTGGTTGAATGATCTTGATTACACCTCTTAATTCCCTTGGTCTCAGTCTCCTTATCTGACATGAGGGAGACTTAACTCAGGGATCTCCAAGGAAGTGGACGCATGGTGCTGATAACCATTCTTTTTTTTTTTTTGAAGGTTTTTATTTAATGAATACAATTTTTCATATGTACAGCTTTTAGGGATATAGTGTTTCTTCCCCCATACCCACCCTCCCATCCGCACTCCCATCCCACCTCCCACTCCGTCTCCTGTTTCATTTTCCATTAAAATTAATGTTTAATTGACTTTATTTACAGAAGACCAACTCTTTACTAAGGAGAGATTTCAACTATTTGCACCCACACAGACACACAAAGTATAAAGTACAATTTGTAGATAAGTTTTACCATTAATTCTCATAATACAACTCATTCTTTTCCCACTCATTGAGGAGATGTGGATCGTTTCATTATTTCTGAATATAAATAGATATTTTCTGGATAATGTACAGGTGGGTGTATCAATTTTTTGATGTACTTAGATTAGAGGAAAAAGTGTTAAAAAGTATTTAAAAATGCTCTTCTGTGCATTTTTAAGTGCTACCCAACTGGTTCCATTTATTACCATGAGGACAACTGGAAATATGGCTCTCACGTTCATTCACTACGGACAGATTCCTTAATGCACCTGAGTCTGTCTTCTCATCTATGTCATGGGTATGTAATAGGGATACACCACCAACCTGTTGCACTCGAATGTAGGGCTTGAATGTGATAACATGGAACACAGCAGGTACTCAGAAGATGTTCATTAACCCCAACTGCACTGAAGCCCACAACCAGTTTATCAATGGGTTTTACTGTATTTGGGCATAGAAAAAATAAGACCTGTTTTACTCTTGGCTGCGTGGAAACAGGGTATGGCTACTAAGGAATGTTTGAACTTGTGGCCACTAACGCATTTAGTTTTGGAAGCAGGGGGTCAGCGTTCAGACAGGAAAGCTACGTGTTAGATTTCAACATACCGCATCCTCTCACCCTCCCAATATGCTTCCTTCTTAGTGCAGAGCTAAGCCCGGGGGTCTTATCCCGTTAGAGTCCTATTTTTTCTATGCTGAAAAGACACCAAGCTCAAAGAACATGAGCCACATAAAGGAAAGCAACAATCTGGAATCTCTGGGGGTGTTATTTTGATCAAGAAAGAGACAAGACTTCAAAACAGAGCGAGAGTGAGCACTCTCTTCTCTCTACCGAGCTGTTATTAGTAGCACCTGTATTGGAGAATGTGAAGGCTCTTACTCACCCATCATGAAAATTATTTTACACTTCCTCAAATCTTCCATGAAGCCTTTAAAATAAGAAAAATTTATGTTATTGGCAAGAAATACAGTATTGAGGCCCTGCTTTTACTCTTGTTATGGAAAAACCCCAAATCTTGTAGTTTTATCTGATAAGAAGCTTGAAGCTGAGCAGATGGGTTAACAGGCATTGATGACCAGGTAATATATTTTAACGTTAACACGCACTGTCAGTTTTAGGTGTGAAATGATGTCCTTAAACAACATGAATCACTAACAAAGTTAACTTTAAAAATTATTTTAAAACCTTCCTAAGTATCTCAGTTTGGTGTTGTTTCACATTTGAAAAAAAAACCATTTTTCTATTTCCTTTTTAATAAAGAGAGGTTAAAACACAAGTAGACTGCCTAGGAGGCAAATGTAAAAATAATTTCTATTTACAGCAACTAATGCCATTTTCCACTTGCAGTGATGATACACAATTTCATTTAAAAATAAATATATTTAAATAACAACGTTGAGTCAACTTACCAATGAATATCAGATATATAATATATAATATGGGCAGTACAGAAAGTAAAATTCACCACAATTGTGCATGAGGAATCACTGCTGTAAGGTAAAGGCATGAGTCATGGTAGGAACAATAGGCAAAGCATGAGCCTTCTGGGGTTTGTGGAGCCTTAAAACATTCCCAAATGCCAAGGGTATAGTAGGAAGCTCTGAGGGATGGGTAGCTCACAGCTATGTTTCTAGCTTTGCCGTGAATCAACTTGATCCAAGCAAGTGACTCCTTTCCTTGCACTTTAGTTTCTCTGACTGTAAAATGAACGGGTTAGACCTAATGATCTCCACCATCTCTTTTGATTCAAATCCTGTATGATTCTGTGGTCTCAAAAATGAATGGGCCACATGAAGAAATGGCTGCCTTTGTCCCTAGGTCCCTAGATGAAGTTATCATCGTTGTACATCTAAGTCTAAGAGAGTTTGGGTGAGGGTGGGGTCACCTGAAGGAATAAATCCTGGGTGGGGGGGGGGGAGACAGAGAGAGAGAGAGAAATGGGGTATGAAGAATTGGGACAAAGAGGGAAGAAAGTACTGGATGCAGGAGAAAGCAGTGAGTTTGGGATCCTTGCAGCATACTATGGATTTCATGCAGAAGGATTATTTTTTTTGGCTCTTTTTAATCCAACAGGCGTTCCAATCCCTTTACACAGCAGCCCATGGTGAGTGGAAAAATCTCATCTGGAGTCTTCTATTAAAGGCAGATTTACTGGTTTCCTAATAAGGGACCAGATGGACTTCTTACGTTCTCCAGCCTGCAAGTTTACTTTTATGAAATTTAACAATTTGAATCTATTTCCAATCTAGGAGAGTGGCCTTGGCTATTATTGGTTTTTGTTTATTTGGTTTTGCTATGATTGTATCCTATTTCAATACAAAAGGTTTTTTTTTAAAATTAATGATAGCATATTTGTATACTTTTACAAATTATGTTGACAGATTTTTTAAAGGCATGGGAACATGCTTACATTACGATAAGATAAAAAAATTTGGAGAAATTTGTATATATACGTGTATTGTCAATTACATAAAAATAGGCAGATAGACATAACTCTGGAAGGAGTACAGTAGAATGTTAACCAGGATTATTTATAGGTCATAAGGTTTTAGATGGCTCTTATTATTTACCTTCAATATTTTTCCACAGTATGTGTTAACTTTTTTAAGCAGGAAAAAGGGGAAACTTATTATGCCATTATCATCACCCTTTCTAGACGAGACTGAGTTGATCATTTGTGCTAAGCAAAGTGACAGCTGCACCATGGCTGATGCTTACAAGGTGTTCCCTGTGAATCACCATGATGTCATTTGCTGACTGACAATCATACACACATATTGCCGATACCATCAAATGACACTTTCTCTACCATCATTATTGTGCTCATGGATCGGTGCAGGTTAGACCAGGGGTTATCTAAAAAGCCCAGTCACTTACTTGTAGGTGTTCACAGTCAATACAAAAATGTGTTTCCACAAACCATAATTGTAACAATTGCTATGACAGCATAGAAGTGTTAGAAGGCATTTTATCTGGTGAGATCATGAAACTTATCTTTTTTAGACAGTCCAAAATTCACAAATTTATCTATTTTCAGTTACACAGATAGCCAATAATGGGTAGATATTTTTATTTTTGCAAGAAAATATGACAAAAGTTACAAAGCAGCGTAACCTTGGTATACATTAGGTTGGGTCCCAATGGTACATTACAGAGTAGGAACTATTATGCAGGAAAAAGAGTTCTGTGCACCAATTAGGTTTGTAGAATGTTTACAGTTAGACAGCTGTCCTTGCTGTAGGACTTGTAGGAGCTTTGTTATGTTATTGTGTATATGAACCCTCCAACAGGGATTAAGTGTTAAGCACTTCCCAAACATATTTGAGAAGCCTCCTCTTTGCACTGAGCATCATGGGAGTCGTGTTCTCAGGGTAAGTAGGACATGCATTTCTTAGTAATGCATCTCTTTGGTTCTTTCTATAAGACCAGCAGTGGATGGATGCAGAGAATTCCATCCTTAGACATAGTCCCTGGCTAGGGCAAAGATACATGTGTTGGTGTTTTATTATCTCTTTGAAGGTGTTTAATTAAAAAAAAAAAAAGGCATGCACAAAGTAATTAACCTATAAAAACTTTGGTCTGATCAGTAAAGGCAACTCACCTGCCATGGAGTCCTGTCCAAATAGATTTAACTGGTCATCTGCCTGTTAAAAAAAAATCACAGTAAAAATCAGAGTATTAGATATAATACTAACAGGTGCTGTGCTAAATTCCTGCCGACACTAGCATACTTAAACTACTAAACAACTCTGCAAGGAATGAACTCCCAAACAATTTTATGATGGACAATATTTTACAGAGAATTCCAGAAGTTAGGTTGCCAAAGGTCACACAGTAGTTAAGGGACAGAGCTCAGGTTTAAACTGACAGGTCTCTTCACAGGCACAGTATCTCGCCTCATTGTCTTGGGGCATAAGCTCCTTGTAGACAGAAAACTGAATTCAAGAAGACAAAACCATTCGGTATAGAAGCGTAGTAAAGGTGTGCTCATAGCTGTTCTACCAATAACTTCCATTATTTAAGGCTGGACTTGAAAACTTTCTGAAAAGACCCAGATCAGAAATGATTTCAGTATTGTGAGTCCTACAGTCTCTACTGCAATGCTTGAATCACTGGCCGCTGTTGGCCAGTCCCTGAACCCAAGCAGGAACTAAGGGAGGCTGAAAAAAGCAGCTGTTCTTTGTGTCTGCCTTTAAAATTTCATTGTATTTTTAAAATGAAATGGAAGCTCTATTTTCCTTGGTGGTTGAGAAAAAAATTCAGAACAAATTTTATCCTTTTCTGGAGGGTTTTCAACTACAAATTTACTATCTTGAACAGAACTATTCAGGCTATCAAGGTTATCTACTTATATTGTAAAAATTTTTTTTTACATTTCATAAGAGTTTTATACTTTTTTGGTTAACATGCAATACTTACATGCATCTATGGACTACAGTAAGATATTTCAAGACATTTATACAACAGGTACTCATCAGATTACAGTAGTTAGCATGATAAAAGAACATTTTGTGAGAATTCTCATTTCCACCCATGTGTTTTTCTATCTTTTTTTCCCATTTCCTCAGCCTTTATAGGTAACCACTGAAGTTTCTTTCCAGCAACACAAAAAACAGCTTGCAGATATCCAGTGAAGTGAAAACACTTCAATGTGCATATATAATCTTATGACCTCCATTTCTTACACAAAATAGCATATTTTTATTATACAGACATATGTGTTTATGATATAATACAAGGTTACTTCAAAAAGTTCGTGGAGGAGTGGGTATTAAGCTGGTGCTTCAGATGCTGATTAAGGTGTCAGAGTCTTGGGTTTAACTTCTGGCTGTAGTTGTCAATTCCAGCTTCCTGCTAACGCACACTTTGGCAGGCAGCAGATGATGGCTCAAGTATTTAGGCTCCTGCTACCCACATGGGCGACCTGGATTGAGCTCTCTGGGCCTGGCTTTAGCCCTGCCCAATCTTGGTTGTTGTGGGTCTTTGGAGAATGCACAAGCAGATAGGAGCTCTTTCTTCCTGCTTGTCTCTCTGTCTCTGCCTGTCTCTTGGATAATTTAAAAAAAATTTAAGAAGTTCATGGACAAATGGAATTAAAATAAGTTTATTTTGGTGCAAAACAATTTCAAAATCCATGTATAGTTCTTCCATAATATACTTTCCCATGAACCTTTTGAAGATCCTTTATTTTTTTAAATAACATTTCCTTTTTTTGAAGATTTATTTATTTATTTGAAAGAGTTACAGAAAGGAAGAGGTATAAAGAAAGAGAGAGAGGACTTCCATCCACTAATTCACTTCTCAGATGACAGCAATGGCTGTAGCTGTGCCGATCTGAAGCCAGGGGCCAGGAGCTGCTTCTGGGTCCCTCACGTGGGTCCAGGGGCCCAAGGACTTGGGCCATTTTCCACTGCTTTCCCAGGCCATAGCAGGGAGCTGGATCAGAAGTGGAGCAGCCGGGACTTGAACAAGCACCCATATGGGATGCTGGCACTGGAGGCGGCAGCTTTACCTGCTATGCCACAGTGCCGGCCCCTTGAAGATCCTTTATACTATTCTGTAATATGCTGTTCTTTCACTTGCTTTTTCACCTATCAACATAACCTGGAGAACTTTCCTTGTTAGTACAGAATGTTCTTGGTTGCGCAGTATTTTATTGGGTGGATGGTCCCATAGTCTTTCATTTTTTAAATAGTCCTTTATTGATGGAGCATTGAGATTTTCCAAGCTTTGACTATTATTAGAAAGGTGGCACAGTAAATAAATTTGTATAAATGTAATTTCCTACACATATTTGTGTAGAACAAATCTTGAAAGGGGACACTGAGAAGGCAAAGACTAATATATTTATTTACTTAATTATTTATTTATTTTATTGAGAGGCAGAGTTACGGACAGAGAGAGGAAGAGTCAGACAGAGAGGTCTTCCATTCGCTGGTTCACTTCCCAAATGGCCACAATGGCTGGAGCTGGGCGGATCCAAAGCCAGGAGCCAGAAGCTTCCTTCAAGTCTCCCAAGTGGGTGCAAGGGCCCAAGGACGTGGGCCATTGTCCACTGCTTTCCCAGGCGATTAGCAGAGAGCTAGAATGGAAGAGGAGCAGCTGGGACTAGAATTGTCAGGCAGAGGCAGAGGCTTAACCTACTATGCCTTAGTGCCAGCAAGAGTAACATATTTATAATTTTGCTAGTTTTTTTTTTTTTGCTAAACTGCTGCCCACTATGTTGTACTATTTTGCTGTGGATGGTACTTTACAGAGCCTCTTGACTCTAGCTCACTGAGATAAAGGATGCAGTTAAATGAGGGCATCTGGTTGCATGAACTCTCCCTCGAGGTAATTGCTTTGAAAGCACTTTGAAGACAGAGCATCAGCATTCTTTCTAGAACATACCCCTTAAAGGCAACTTTACTGCTTGTCTTCTGAGATTTGCCTGTGTATTCAGAGCTATTCCCGGTGAGAGAGAAGAAATTTTAAGAGTGGTCACTGGGGCCAGCGCTGTGACCTAGTGGGTAAAGCTGCTGCCGCCAGTGCAGGCATCCCACATGGGTGCCAGTTCGAGTCCCAGCTGCTCCACTTCTGATCCAGCTCTCTGCTATGGCCTGGAAAAGCAGTAGAAGATGGTCCAAGTGCTTGGGCCCCTGTGGGAGACCCAGAAGAAGCTCCTGGCTCCTGGCTTTGGATTGGCACAGCTCCAGCCATTGTGGCCATTTGGGGGAGTGAACCAGTGGATGGAAGACCTCTCTCTCTCTTTCTCTTCCTCTATCTACCTCTACATCTCTGTAACTCTGCCTTTCAAATAAATAAATCTTAAAAAATCAGAGTGGTTATTGAGGGACACATTTGCATGAATTATTCCTGTGTAAAAAACATGAATTACACCACAGTGAGCCTCCTCACCTAGTCCCCTGTTGAAGTCACCACACTTTGAAGCTGGATAGAGGGATCTCTAATCCAACCCAGCCAGCCCCTCTCCCATTTTACAGATGAGAAAGTTGATGATAGAGAAGTCACGTGAGGGGCACGTGACCATACTATCAAGTCCTTAGTGAGGTCACAGATGGGATGAGGACCACGCCTCTCACCAGCCTGCTCAGCTCCTACGGATTTGGTCCCAATAGCACAGCCATAATAGTGGATGCTGTTCATGTCGCCCTCCTGACCTGGTTGTGGTCTCTGTTCCCCAGCTGTAACTAAGGGCTCACAGCAGTATGGCCCCTGTCTGAAGCTGTGTTCCAGAGCTTCTGCTGCAGGATCAGGCTGAAGCTCAGATGGAGCCAGGACCATAACTTTGCTCCTATCTGGCTTCTGTAATAACTTGCACGAGCATCCTCATCTTAGGCTCTGCTTTTAGGGCCGCTGACCTGGGACAGGGACATCATTGAAGCAATTGATATGTCTGTCCACAATGCAGCTGCATAGTAAGAGGCTGGGAAAGCATTGTTGAATCAAAATCTGCTTATTGCTCGACAAATAGTGGTTGCATATATTCAAGTCATGTTCAACTGCTGATATACCGTTGGATTACCAGGCTTATACCCACCTTACAAGCTAAGCTGCGTCTGATCTTTCTTGCATGAGGATATCGTGCTTTGGAAGTTTGATCACAGTTAATCTGAATTCATAAAGCAATGTGTCACATTATAAAAGGGCCTCTCTTACCTCTTCTGGCTTCTTGAGCCTGACCTGTTTTTATCTGTAGCTCTCATTCACAGCCTTCTACTCTGTGCAAATGTTTCAAATGAGTCTCGGGTTTGTTTCCATTAATTCGTTGACAGTGAACAGGTTTCTGGGGCACAGGAGCCTCTGTCATCAATCAGCTCACAGCCAGAAATGAGGTGCATTGATATGAAAGCCCCAGTGAATTGGGTGTTTGATTGGAGGGTGTTATTTTTCAGTGGCTCTCAACAGACCTCCTGGTTCCAATGTGAGTTTTTTTGTAAACAAACGTAACCTGGTATCTTAAACTCACATGTGGGCATGCACCTGTGCATGCACATGTGTGCACCCCCCCCCCCCACACAATTACCCCAAAGAGGTCAATGACAAGCACTTCTGATTTTGGTGAAGAAAAGTTCCCCCCACCCAGGGAGGCACTGAGTCCTGCTCCTTTTCCAGTGCTAGCCATGTTCTGCATGAAAGGCACTGAGGTCAGAACGTCATTTGGACACAGAGCGTATGGTGCAGAGGTTGACATGGCTTGAGACACCTACACCCTATATTGGAGCGCTTTGTTTGAGTCTTGGCTCCTCCACCTCTGATTCAGCTTGCTGGTAATGCTTACTCTGGGAGGCAGTAGGTGATGGCTCAAGTACTTGGGTCCCTGCCACCCAGGTAGGAGACTTGGATGGAGTTCTGGACTCCTGGCATTGGCCCAGCCAGCGGAAGTTGCAGACATTTAGGAAGTGAACCAGTGGGTGTAGTACAAAGCCAGTGAATGGCAGATCTGTGTCTGTGTCTGCCTTACAGATAAAGTGCAAATCAATGAAAAAAAATAATAAAAAGGGTATAGTCTTACTCATGAAGCTTCTTTTTTTTAAAAAGATGTATTTATTCATTTGAAGGTCATAGTTACACAGAGAGAGCAGAGGCAGAGAGAGAGAGAGAGAGAGTCTTACATCCACTGGGTCACTACCGAAATGGCCAA